CCAAGGAACTTTGGTGAGAAGACACGGCCCTAGGAGGCGAAAGTGACTTTGCAGAAAAGCTTCGGCTTCCCTTGCCTGAGACTTTCAGCGGCAATCCGGCCGACGGGGAAGAATGCGCCTGGAACTTCAAGGCCTGTATATCTCAATGTTCGAAACAAGTGCCGTCACTTTACTTGACCGTGCAGAACGTTGGACCGATGTGTTCCTAGACGGAAATTTGCAGGTGACTTTGGACGCCGGTGATGTGGATGTGGAACAATCGGCATACCGATTACTTTTCCCCCGGAAGCTACATTACTTGATTTCTCAACTTGTGAAAGATTCGGCAAAACTTATCGTCCGTCAGGACGAAGACAGCAACGGCTTCGAAACTTGGAGGGGGCTTGTCAAGAAGTTCTCACTGCCACGAGCTACGAGGAGCACGTCATTTTTGCCACAGCTCCTGGACTTCAAGTTCAACCCTGCAACCTTTGAGCAGGACTTTAATATGTTTGGAAAACGAACAAGTCGAGGTATGAACACCAGTCATGTCAACCTTTACCCGACGGCATCCTCGTTGCTACTTTGTTGAGCAAGACAACGGGAGCTTTGCAACAACATGTGAAGTTGAATGCTCGAACTTTGCAAATTTTTGCTCAGGTTAGCAAGGTGATTCTCGAATACCATCGTTCACGACTTTTTTTGACGAATCCAGTTGTACAAACTTCTTCGGCAAATGCAGCTTCTCAAGGAGGAGCAGAGGCTCCAATGGACATTGGCGCTTTAGCAGCGGCTTTGTGGAAAGGAAAGAAAGGTAAAGGAAAAGGAAAGGACTTTTCGACGTCACATGGAAAGGGAGCAAGAACTCAACATTGGAGCTTTACGGAAGGAAAAGGCAGAGGACAAGGACACAAAGTAAAAGGCACTTCCTCAACTTCGGTTTGTCGGTCGTGCGGAAAGACAGGACACTTTGCAAGCAACTGTCCCACTTACCGTGTTACGGCTGTTGAAGATGAAAAGAGACTTTACCCGAGCCTGTCTGTCTCTGTATGTTGTCTCTGTCGGTCTCTGTTTGTCTGCGTCTGTCTGTGTCTGTCTGTCTGTGTCTGTCTGTCTGTCTCTCTGTGTGTGTGTATTTGTGCATCTGAGATTCCAGCTCTTCAAGCTTGGTTTCTATCACCACAAAGGCACCCGCAGCGCATGTCAGTGCGAAGACTTACATATTGAAAGCATGCAGCACGCCTAGCTGCAGCTGTATCTCAGTTTGGCTTAGCAGTCTGGCTATAGGTACAGGGATCCTTACTAAAACCAGAAGCGGTATGTGATGGAGTTTGGTGCAGTCTGAGGTTTTTGCCTATCGGTTGGTCGGAGACACGCCAGAGAAATTTCGACAACGTGCCGAGAAAGTGGATGCATCCTGGCATTCAGTGGCAGTGGCTTAGGACATATATAGGTTGTTGATGGGACGGTTTTGGCTCTTTTGGTCCCATCCCCCATAAGGTCATACGGGCGCTATCTTTAGAGTGGGACATGAAAGTGGGCATTCGGAACAACGAAGCCTAGTGACAGTGTAATATTATTTATGGCTGTCTGAACCGAAACCTCAACCCCAACCCCAAAGCTGCATCTCCCACGGGGATCCCAGGTGAACCTGGGCCTTTTCCGCCGGCACTCCCCAAGGAGCCCCGGGTTTGGAGTTTGTGCATTGGGGATTTGACGGTACAGTGGCGTGCCTCGCTAAAAAGAGCGTTTCGAGATTTTTGGTAGGTCGAGACCTGTCAGATGTATGGGAGTACAGGCGTCAGCATAAAGTGCCTGACTCATGGGAGTGTCATAAAACAGGAACGGCCTTCCGCCAATTCCTCAACTCGAAATCTTATGGAAAGAGCGCACACCCTAAAGCATTAAACCACTACATATCACTGCTAAACTTACTAAACCCCTAGCCTGGCCATGGCAGGTCCAAGCCTTCACTTGACCAGCACAGAGTGCTTCTTTTTGGACAGAACACAAAACCAAATTCCCAGGCTGCAGCTTAGAGGTTTCTCCAATTTGTTGAAAATTATCCCTTATAGTCCCTGCGAAACAATTGTCAGCGTTGCTTCAAGAATCACTTTTCAAGTGCCCGTGTAGAACCCTATTCTCATCATTGAGGGCCCCTGCGCTGCACGACAGAATATGTTCTATACTACGTTATAGTGTAAAAATAACCGTATGTCATAGTATGTTGCTGGCGCTGGCCCCAAATCCCAGGATACGTTGGCTGCTTCAGTTGGTGGAGGAGATGACACCGCATCCCTCAGTTCAGATAAGGTTTCAGGTTGTAGCGCTTCGTGGATAAGGGCCCTTAACCATGAGAACAGGGTCATGATGGAGTCTAAAGGATTTCATGTAGTGGCCGTGGGTAATTAGAATAGGGTTTCGGGTGTTTATGAGACTGAATCGAAAGGGATACTACAAGGGCCTGAATAATAACCAATCTAGTTTGGGGGCTGCTTATTGCTCACTTCGAAAATCTCCGAAATTTGCGGCCGTTGTCGTTTCAAATTAAGCAAAATTAACGACGTAACCTTTGGCCCCATGTTGCTCTTGTGCTGTGTTACTCGAGACTCAGCGAAAACCGCAACCCACATGGGGACACCCAAAACACCCTATCTGACTCAGATAGGCTCCTTTTGCTCATTGGCCCAAAGTACTTTCTGGGAGCCCCAAAGCATCCTATTTCGCGCAGACAGGCCGTTTTGGGTTTTGAGACACCGAAAACACCCCACCAAAAACGCTTGTGGCACCCACAAGCATTCCCCACTTGGTTCCTTTGAACCCCCAAACACCCTATCTGACTAAAGAGGCTATTTTTCCTGGCTGAAGTACTAGAAACTCCTAAAGCCTAAATCCTAAATCCCAAGCCCTAAGCCCTATAAATCCCAAATCCTGAGAGTCCAAACCCTAAAAAAGGGTTTTGACCCCTAAACCTTGAAGGAACCCTTAACGGGAGCCTTAAAGGAACCCTCACAGGGACCTAAAGGGCTTTGGGAGTTCCAGGAGTTCCTCCCCGAAGCAGAAGCCGGACGCTTTGAGTGCGAGCTCTGACGGGGCGACTGGGAGTAGCCTTGCCGCGGTCGGGCTTTAGGGTTGAGGGTTCCGGGCTTTATAGGATTCCAGAGTTTCAGGGTTTCAGGCTAGGACTGGTTTTCGTTTTTTGCAGTTAGGGTTGTCTATGGTGGTTCTACCTGGCTGGAGGCCTCGTAAACGCTGCGAGGGTGAGCTTTCACACGCCTTTGATGATGATCGCTTGCACGGAAAAAGCGAATGTTCTCGCACTTTCCTACCGGTTGAGGTGCTGCTAGATCATGCTAGATCTTGCGCCGTCTTCTTTGCACCCTTGGCTTTACTTTGACATCTCTTATGCAAGATCCGACAACTCGTGCGAACAGAACTGGCTGAGCAGGGTTGTCATCCATGCTGGTTGTTCTGATGACCAAGAAGAAGCTACATTCAGCTACATACCGTAGCCATAACCCTGAAACTAGTATCTGACTTGCTGCCTTAGAGCCTTTACTTCACTGACTTGGTTTGTCAGTGCACACCTTACTTGGGGGTCTTGGGGGCGCAGGGTACCTACAAACCCCACACCTTAAATTAAGACTAGCATATACGTACACACGTGAGCGTGTATATACACACATACGTACACACATGCATACAAAGATACACACCGAGATGTATTTGTATGCATATCTATGTATGTATGTATGTATGTATGTATAAAAAGCCGTAGGGCCCAGGCCCCTGAGCCCTACATCCGGCGTGCACCAGCGATTCGACCAAGCGACAAGGGAGAAGGTAAAGCATGGGCCTTAATAGTTAGACTAGGGTTCTATAAGAAGGGGCCCTAACAATCAGAACAGGGCTTGGAAAGTCTATGCTACTTGAGTTACAATAAGGCACCCCCCAAAAAACCCATTCTAATTATTATGGCTCCTATAGTAACAGGTGCAAGGCCGGAAGATCTGATCCCTGAGCTGAAGACTCCAAGATTCCGGGGTTAAGGGTGGTTAAAAAGGGTTTTGGGGAGAGGCAGGGCATAGATATAAGCAGGGCTCCGAAAATTAGTGCTGAAGCCCCGGGCCAAATTCACCGTTACTTGTGAACTGCGAACTGGAAAATCCGCAATGCTTGCCTTGAGCCCTAAACCCTCTGCATGAGTCCTAAAATGCACACCAAAAAGCCGCTAATAATCAAACTCGTCTCTGAAATCGTCTCTTATAGTATCTTATGCTATAATCCCCTGTTCGGACTAGTGTGCCTGTTCAGTCAAGTTTCTCAGTGGAATGCTCAGAAAGCTGGGGGCGCTGTCACGGGCACAGCGCTAGCTGGCCGGAAGAGTGGCCTGCAGCAACCAAGCCCCTAAACCCTAACTTTTTTCACCAAAACCCTAAAACCCTAAACCCTAAACTTGTTGCCCAAAACACCAAAACCCTAAACCCTAACTTTTTTCCCAAAACCCTAAAACCCTAACACCCTAAAGGCCCTAAGCCCTAAAACCCTAAACTCTAAAAACCCTTATAAACCCTAAAGGCCCTAAACCCTAAAACCCTAAAGCCCTAAACTCTATAAACCCTTATAAACCCTAAAGGCCCTAAGCCCTACTAGAATGGTAGAAATCCTCCGCCGGGAGGCCCAGTTGGCCCGGGTTGGCTCCTGAGTCTCTGACTTTTCCCGGGGGGGGGGGGGGCTCATGGGGTTTTAGGCCCTTTAGGGCCTTTGGGCCCTTTTAGGGCTCATGGGGTTTTAGGGCCTTTTAGGGCCTTTAGGGTTTAGGGTCTTGGGGTTCAGAGCTTCAGGTTTTTCAGGTTTAGAGTTTAGGGTTTAAGGGGGTTTGGGGTCGGCCAGGGGGCTGTGCCTGGCTTTGGCGGGCTCGGAGATTTCACTCTTGCGGCAGGTATTTGACTTGATGGTCCCTCATAATTTGAATAGGGTTTGGAGTACATGAAAATATCCACATATCTTAAGAGCCCTATAGGAATAATCTTGCTAATTCTATTTAGGCCTCTATGTTAGTCCCGTTAAACCCACCATGCCTACCAACCCCGACCTCCCCCTGCTCGGGTTGAGGGCTTACAACCTTCGGGTTCAGGTCGTTTTCGGTTCGCCGGACAGTTGCTGTGCATATCGACATACCGATAATCTTGCTGAGTGCGAGTCCTTGTCCCCAAAGATGTTAAACTCCTGAAGCCCTGACCCCCTAAACCCCGAAACCCCAAACTCCTAAACCTCAAACCGTCCACCCCTAGAAACCCCGAAGCCTAAACCCTAAAGTTAGGAACCTTCACAGGACCCCCTACACCCCCCGAAGGGTTGCCGGTATCCGGCTCTACCTCAGGTTCGGTTGAAGGCTGCGGGGACTGGAGTTACGCTCCACACGAAGCTCTGCTGATGCATCATCTATGACTCCAGAAAACCCAGGGGTTTAGGGCCGGTTTAGGGCTCTGTGCAAGAGTGTTTGAGTCCGTAAAAACTGGGTCGCGGCATAGGGTTTCAAGCACGTTGTAGTTACACAGCTATATATGCACTTGGATCGATACAATTTGCTGTCGGTTTGATGGCGACGGCGAGGGCCAAAGAGCGCATCGGCATCAGCATTCGTAGTTGGGTTTTGTTCGTCAGGGGCTTGGGCAAGTTACTGTAGATCAATTTGGGCTCGTGTTGGGCTCAAGAGACCGCGCTCGATCGGGCCTAGCGTTTGAGGAGTTTAGGTCTACTGGGGTTTGGGGTCCCGTACTGGGAGAGACACGACTGTTCGAGCTGGATGGGGTATTTCAAAGCTGCCAAAGTTGTGGAAGGTGGGAAGAAGCTCCTGGGGACAGGCAACCGGTGCTCCCTGCTGGAAAAGACTTGGTCATCGCCGCAAGCTTCTGGTGAAGCCCCGCTGAAGCTGACGCCAGAGGTCCTCGAGAAACTGAGGCACAAGGTCCTGCAGGCCAGCTTCATGATGGCAGACAGGGATCGTGACGATCAGCTGTTGAAAGCAGAGTTTACCTTAATGATCCGCAGGGCATACTTTGGCATCGACCAGTCCCGGGTCGACGAGGCCTACATCGATGCTTGTTGTGACGGATATGGAGTTGTCACCTTCCAAGGCTTTGTGGCATGGCTGTGCCGATGCCAGAAGGAGGTCAAAACGCTAGCCGATCTCCCCGGAACCTGCAATCAGGCGCCCTGAGGGCTAGCTTAGTTATATATATATATACACACACACATATGTAAGTGCCCTGCTTCATGAATAACAAACCGCAATGTCATCCGCAATCCTCATCTCGGCAAGGACCCCAACAGTCCCTTGCAAGGAGATCCTGCCGTGTGTGTGTGTGTGTACTCTTCGCCAGGGCACTGCATGTGACGACCCACCTTGCTGTAGCAACCATTCCGAAACCTACCCAACCCACGACCCGTCCAAATAGCTTGGCTCTGATTTGGCTTTACTTTAGCCTCGAAGTTTGTCTGTGTCAGCGAATCGAACGTGCACATACACACATAACATTACGGCTCCCATATTACCCAGTACACCTTTTCCCAAGAACAACTCCTGGAACGGTGTGAGCAGAAGCACTGCTAAGCAAATCATGGCAGGCCGAGGCATGGGGTTTGGTATGAGGAATGTTGGAAAGGGCGGCGTTTTTTTTTTGAAACCTGCAGTTTGGTTTTGGAATACTGCAGTACGCCAGACTACTCGCCGCTAGACTCGTCGTAACACTCTTTACTGACTGTAGACTCTAGGTCTATATGTATATGTGTGTATATATGTGTATATATATATATTTATTTATTTAGTTATTTATTTAATTTATTTACCACATTTTACTCTACTTTCCATTGTACTGTGCCATTCGACCCGAAGGCGGCCGAGGAGAACATCGTCCCGACAAAGGCGGTGTGGCGCCTGTGGAACATGGACGGCGATGAGAAATTGAGCAACGCAGAGTTCGAGTACTGCATGAAGAAGGCATTCCCGGATATTAAGAACAAAAAGCTGCTGCAAATCTTGCAAACTATGGATGAGGACCTCAGTGGCGAAGTGGCTGAAGATGAGTTTGTGCGCTTCCTTTTGCCACCAGCGAAGGCAGACCCCAAAGATACCATTAGTCAACAAGCCCTAGGCGGCTGACAGTGAACATGTCCGTTGTGTCCTTCAACTGTTTTCCAATCTGCTAGAGGGATCAATCTCCAACCTGCTTAATTGGCATGGGTAGAGGGAGAGACAGGTAGAGAGCAAGTTGTTTAGCAGTGCCTCGCCGGCCTCGGGGCCAGCGCAGGACTTATGAGTGCTTCCTGCCTGTCAAAGACATGGCTTGAAACATATAGCAGGCAGGCTATTGCAGTGTCTAAGGGACCCGGGTTTTCCGAGACATGTGGAGCTCGTTGCTTACCGGTTCCTGCAGCTTTGTTCCGCCGGCATATGATCAGGTACCATCAGCGATACAGTTCACCGAGCTCCTTGTTCGGTTATGTAATGTGGTGTAGTATAGTATAACATAGTATAATACGGTATAATGAACTTTGATCTAGCATGATACAGTTTCTCTTAATGATTCATTCCTTGATTAGAGACCTGGCATGCGGCTTAATCTTATGGACCCAGCAGAAGCGACAGCAAAAGACCGAAACTCAACTCGGAGTCGGATGGTTGGCAGTGGCGGTACCTTTGGCCCTTGGCGCATTGGGCCTGATCCAGCTAGTTACACTTTACGGTTTAGAGTTTAGGGTGTAGGGTTTAGGGTTTAGTTCGAAGCGGCCGCATCCTGAACATGATAGTGGCGACAGAACCCGCGACTGTGGTGTGCAATTAGCAGGCACGTGCTGAGCTAGATGCGCTGACAGCGAGGCCGGTCGGTAACCAGCTACGGTCATTCATTTGCACAGCAAATTGCTTCTAAGGGCTGCCGTAGACCTGGAAGGGGATGGGTTTGGCTAGCCTGCAGAGATGTTTTGCACTCCAAAACCGGTCAGTCAAGGTTTGTTGCCCGGAAGTACAAATATGAGGCAGCCAAGGCGAAAGGGATTGGATTCTACTTTCCAAAAACTTTCAGGTTTGGGTGCTGGGCAGCTAAACCCCAAAGCCCGCAAGCACGTTGAAGGTTGGCGTCGCATCCGCGGGCTGCAGGACTGCGCTGCTTTTTCAGGCTTTCAGTCGGATGTCCCACCATAAGTCGCACTTGCAGCCAGTCGTTGCGCAAAGAGACGGTTCAGACATAAAACCGTTGCCATGGTTCCAGGCATCAGGTACACGTGCAAAAACATCCTGGCACAGACATAGATCGAGTCCCCAGTGAAGACTACGATAATGTAGCAGCCACCAGTGCTTAAGAGAAGCTGAAGTTATTGCAAAAGTGAAATCGCGAGGCGCCAAAGCTTCCCAAATCCTTCTGGTACCCAAGCCCCCCAAATCAAAATCTCATAGAAGACCGGAATAAATCCTTATTACAAATCCTTAACCCGACCGAGACCTTTACCCGCGACTTCAGGGGCTCCCCCAACATACGATGCTTTGAAGAGCCTTTCGTCAGGAAGCAAAAACTCTGAGACATCAAGTTTTGGATGGAATAGCCCTACCTCCTTGGCTTACTACTTAAAGAAAGAAGGAGAATATAGACGGGATAGTTGTCCCACCCTTATGGGTGTTTTGCTGACCCCCTGCTTTGTGTTTTGTGGGTAGACTCGCGATTACCCTAACGGAAGCCTAAATCCTATAATGGAACCCTAAAGCCCTAAAGCCTATAATGGAACCCTGAAGCCCTAAACCCTATAATGGAACCCTAAAGCCCTAAACCCTAGAAAGGAACCCTATAGCCCTAAACCCTATAATGGAACCCTTAAGCTCTAAACCTTATAACGGAACCCTAAAGCCCTAAACCCTATAATGGAACCCTAAAGCCCTAAACCCTAGAAAGGAACCCTATAGCCCTAAACCCTATAATGAAACCCTATAGCCCTCCCTATAAGTTTCGGGGCCGAAGCCAGGAGCCGCTGAGCTGGCGAAGCTTCGCCAGAAGCTCCAGGCGAGCTTCGCAAGAAAGGGGCCTGGAATTAGGGCGTTATAGGGCTTAGGGCTTTAGGGCTTGGGGTTTAGGGCTTTAAGGCTTGGGGTTTAGGGTTTAGGGCTTATGTACAGTTTAGGGTTTAGGAGCACTTAGTAGATCTTTCAGACGGAGTTGTGAATATCTGATGATATGACTATCGAGTTTTGCCGGACATGAAGGTGGAGCTTTCGATTGTAGAGTCCGGCTTTGGTGTGTGTGTGTGTGTCTGTGTGTCGTACAGTTTTGACAGTTTTGTCTGCATAGTTTTTGAGTTTGTTGATACTTCTACAGAACTGTATTGCAAGTCTTCATCAGACGGTAATCGGCTTGTCTTCTTGCAGCACTTAAATGCATCTTCTGTAGGTCCGTGTCCCGAAACAGACGAAAAAAGGCATCTGCACTTTGAAGGGCATGCGGAAGCAAGGAGACCTAAACACAGAGACCAAGTGTGCGAAGTAGACCCTTTAGTCATCAAGGCCTCGAGACGTAGCTCCTGAGCGCTTTTCAGCCTCGAACATCTTCGAACCTCAAGTCCAGAACCCTAAACATTTCATGAGTTCAAGTAAAAACCGTAGCCAGCCAGTATAAGCCCTAAGCCGAGTAGGTAGAGGTGCCACAAAACGGACTCGAGATATCAGGGCATGATATCATGGTATGGCTTCCCCTTGTAGTTTTGCAGGGACTGAGATTTCACGGCGGACTTGACGATGGTTCATGGAACCCGCATGCACTGGCATGCGCGGTCATGTTAGTAGTGGAGCTAGTAAAGCCTCAGCAATGAGACCTGCAACCGTTCGGTCCCTGTCATGCGCTTAAGCCTGAAGCCCGTAAGCCTAAGCCGACACTGATTGAATTCATAGAAGTAGTGGTAAGGTTAGTAAACTGCATAGTAAATTGTGCCAACCACTAGCATTGTTCAGATGTCGTGTTGATTGCAATAGCCAGTAGAAGCGGCACAGATACTAGAATGGGTGAGTGAACTTATGAGAGGTTGACATAAAGTTGGAGTGTAGAATGCAATGTAGGGTTCGGACAGATGTACAGGGTTCGGGGTTTAACGTAGTTTGCGGCTCACGTCAAAGGTCGCGGCTTGTTGCGCGGTTTTGCTTTCTCAGGCAAAGCCCCAAGAAAGGCCTACGATTTAAATATGTGTAAAGACGGCAGGGACCCTGAATGCTAAACCCTGATCAAGAAAAGTTTGCCTTTTCATGAGACCCGACAACTGCGGGTTTTGCATGAGGCAGCCAACTCCGAGTGTGACGCGCGACAGCGTCAAATAGCGGCCGGTGGCCAAGCCCTGCGGTTTAGGGGTTCAGGGGTTTGGGAAGGATGCAGGGTGGCCCTCTGTCCAAAAAGCCAGGGGAGCATCCGAGGGCTTGCTCTGAGTTCAAGCTGTGGCTATGGTTGGCAACTCACCTTCGGTCTCGATTCCCGGAGTGCACCAACCCTGGGCCGTAGGGTCCATGACTCCAGGCCCAACCGGTCCGAAATCCCGAAATCGCCAGGGACCTCAAAGCCCTGCGCCAGCTGAAACTTGCGAATTCTGTGCACTTCTCCCCAGGGGTGCTCCGTTTCATCCCATCTCGGCTCGTCGTTAGCCTGGTTACAAATGGGAGTTTCTGTAAATAAGGGGTACCTTATACTGGGGTCTTCATAATAAGGATCCTACTATTTAGGGTACTATATTAGGTTCCCCTATTTTCGGAAACCCCCCCAATGAAGCCAAGACGAGCCATCTGATTCTGAGGATACGGATTCTTCCATCGAGCGGACTGCATCGCGGCTTGCCGTGCTCAGGCATTGTCGCCCAGAGCCTCCAACTTCGTGTGCAAGCCTGGGTCATTTACGGCTCGGGTTGAGATTGCCGGGTGAAGGCGGGAGGCTAAGCTTTCGCTAAAGCCTGGCCTCTTTAGGCTGAGGCGGCAAGTAAGGTAGTATTTCCCTAACCCCCCAGGTACCTACTATATAGGGCCCTAGGGGCTCTAGTACCCTATATATCCTATATAGTAGGTATTTGGGGGGTTAGGGTTTTGGGGCTCCTGTAGCAGAGCTTTGGGTGTCCAAGTTGCCCGAAACAACACACAGAAACACAGAGAAACACCGGGCCCAACAGTTCCTGGCAAACCGGACAGGATGGGTGCACCAGAGCAAGCCGGGCGTTCTCTATGGGGGTCCAAGGAATGCGAGTTCTCTGAGCACCATGTTACTTGTCGGGGCTGTTGATCTTGGACTTCATTTTATTCGGATCCCAAACCTCCCCTTTAGTTTTTGTTGGCTCGGCAACTAGACTGCGAGGTACATCTGCTCTTTCCGGCTTCCTGGCTCATTTCTGCAAGGGGCATTGAGCGCGAATCGTAGAGGAGCCTGAATGGTGTAGCAAGTTCCCGAATAGGGTTTAGAAGTTTAGAGGGGTTCTGTGGTAGAAGTTATAAGGTTTCCTGCAAAGTAACATAGAGCTTGAAGCGTCGTGAAGCCTTGCTGACACAAAGTCGACTCTGGAGGGCGAGCGCTCTACAGTTCAAACCCGTTTCAGCAGAGGCAGGCGACCAGTGAAGTCCTCATAGGCCTTGGCCAACCACTGCCAGCCCCAGTAAGCGGTATCGCAGTGGAAATGAAGGGCATCACCTTGTAGTCTCTCTCTGTCTCTGTATCTATGTATACACATTGTATTTTTTATTTTCCGCCCAAAAACCTTTTCTAGTTCTAACCATTGCAACCCCCAAGTGTATCGATTGCTGGGACTTGAACTTTCAGCTTTCACCACCAGTCGCGCACTAAGTTTAGCAGGCACCAAGCCACCAAGCACTAAATAACAATAATACAAGCACTAAATACAATCTAATAATCGCTGCTACTACTACGACTACCACCACCGCCACTACTATTACCACACTAGTAATAATGATATTATAAAAATAACCATAATAATAATAATAATACAGCCTGAGTTCCGTCCATTTCCAAGCGCCCATGCCTGGCCGGCCAAGCAGCACCCGCCCTCCCGGATCGAAGGCAAAGTGAGGTTTTTTTGGGGGTTTAGGGTTTAGGGTTATAGGGGTTTAGGGTTTGTTTATAGGGGTTTAGGGTTTGTTTATAGGGGTTTAGGGTTTAGGGGGCCCCTGTGACATCCATCTTTCCCTGCGGCCCTTTTATCTTCAACCCCACCTTACATCCCAAGGCCCCCTTAAAAATCCTCCACGCACAGACACACACACACACCCCTCTTCAGCTTGAGCGTCGCCTAGCGTCAGGTGTTCACCACCACGGTCTTATGTGCTCTACTCACTTCCGAGAAACTCTCCGGTGGTTCGCATATAGTAGACTTCCAATGTTCTGGGCTTGTTTCTACAAGCACGACTTCTTTGACAGCTGGGTGTAGTCGGCCTTTGAAGGAGAAGGAAACTATCCTGTCAGTGTTCCTGAAGTGACTACACGGCCATGTCGTGCTCCACTGCTCGACTCTATTTCCTCAAGTGCTCTACGAGAAGAAACACTTCTGCACCAGACTCCTGGGTTTTAGGGTTTAGGGGCCTGTCGATAAATCCTCAGCCAGCCTGAGTTGCAAAACCTTCCAGGGCCGGGTGCCCACCACCGGCCCGGCACGAAGTGCCCGTTCCCAACGCCCGCGCGCGAGGCTGCTGCCAGGGCTTTGCACATGGTAGTGTTTTTTTTTTTTGGTTGGCTTTGTGCAGTATAGGGTTGAGGTTCAGGGATGGAGAAATGCTTTTTCTGCTCGGAGAAGTATAGCAGGATCATGTATACAAGGACCCCTAAGTGTAAGGCACTTGTAACACTAGTACTCTCCAGTTCTTCCCCTAAACCCTAAACCCTGGCAAGCCCAGAGCAGGTCGTCCTCGATAAAGACACATCGTGCCGTAGACGAGCTTCAGGCGAGCTCGGGGCATGGGGAGTGGGTTTAGGGTTTAGGGTTTAGGTGTGTCTAAAAGGGCATCAAGTTTAGGTTTAGAGTCGAGAGTTTTGGGGTGAATTTCACAGCATATACTGTCTGAGTAAGCCCGGGGGAAAGGGGTACGTGGCCCTACGGAAGTATCTCAGAAGTTTACAGCTCGGTAGTCAAGCTCGGTGTGGGATCGCTACAGATTGGAGCTTTGCTCCGGGTGTGATCAGTGCAGAGACACAGTGGTCTAAACTCACATCATGTGGCATTTTTGCAGGATCAGTGCACCGAGCTCAAATGCCTCATCAACAAAACCAGCGAGGTGGGACTGCGAGGGCAAGACGTCGAGACCTTGACGACAAAACTCTGTTAGTATAATCCTTATAACACTCCCAGTGGGTTTGTTCCCGTACGAAACTGGGCAAAGTCACACATGTGCGACAATGCTGAAGAGGAGAGCGTGACTTCTCCGATAGTATATTGCCGCATTTTAGCTATATGATAGAGTTTATTATAGAATGTCTAACACTTTTAGGCATCATCATACGGCTTTCTGCTTGCAAGCCGTCAGCCACCAAGCCAGCAAGATTCGACATTGTGCAAGAGCCTGCCTGGAATAGACAAAGCAGGAGAACCTCCGCGCACGAACTCGCCTCATGGCTTTGGACAAGGCTCGCCTGGGGAGGGACAACAGGCCTGGTGAATCTTGCCACCCTAAAATTCCATAAGCCGTGTTACTAAGTTACCTAATCAAAGCCAGACTTGCACGTAATTGATCTCAGGATGTTCACTTTGGGCCTCAGATGGTTTTGACCCTGTGGGGGATTTTTCCTGCACCGTGCTGCGGATGTAAAGATGGAGGCTTGCTAAGTGGTTCCTGTGCCTGATCTTGAAAGCACATCTTTCGCACTTTTGTGTGTGTGTGCGCACCAGGCGGAACCTTGTTTCTACAATGGCTCATCATGCACCACCATCTTGCTTCCTGTTTTATGTTTGCAACAACGACAACTGCCTTTTCCTCATGAAAATTCGCGCCCATGCCAATGTTGCTGTGACCTATGTTCACGTGTATTTGTGTGAGGAAAGTGGGTCCAGGGCATACATGATATGTGTGTGTGTGTGCATATATATATATACATATATATGTGTGTGTGTCTATCTGAGAGACCTGCCGTGCTTGAATGAAGGGCTCTATGTCTGTATGAGTGCATGTAATTAGGTGTGTAACCATTAGCCATGTACGTATGCCGCAAGCTAGCCAAATCGTCTGAAAGAACTTGTGAACCTTGAAAATACTCAAACCCCGTCGGCGGGGTCCGCTCACTCCTACGAGATGAGATTGAAGGAAAGGTCGAGATACCTAATCCCCAACCGATGGAGGGTTCGGTATAGCCCGAGGTGTTAAGCCCGGATCTTGTAATCGTTGCGGCGGAGGAGCTTAACAAGAGAGAGCGGCTTCTACAAACCATGGTCAAGCCACTGGGCAGTTACGGAACATGACGGAACAGCACCAGCTTCGATGATAAACTTTTCGCCTCCATTTCCAGCTCATTGATTCTGTTCGATGCTACAGGTTAAAGGGACCCGTGTGCCCGAAAGCCAAAAAAGAGCCCCTAAATACAACCGAAACCTTGCTGTAGCTCTTCACCGCCAAGCTAAAGCATCTAATTAAAGACGAAGCCCGACAGCAGTACTCCTACTAGTAGGGTTTCTTTTGTTCTGAACCCTGCAGACTTATCCCTGAGGGAGCCCAGAAAAAGCCCCGCGAGCCGAAGACCCTCAACCAACAAGCGTGCGCACTTATTTTGGTTCGAGATTCAGAGGTTCCTTCCGGACTTTTTCGTTCTTAAAGGCTTTGCACTGGTGCGGTGTGATGGTCATTGGTAATCTGAGCATGGCCTGTTGCAGCTGGCATTACTGCTTGAGGGCGGAGCAGTTTAGGTCCTAGCTCTTCCCCTGAAGTGAGACCATGGCGCTGACAACAACGGAGGAAAGAGAAGGTCGGTACTCGTAGTGGATCCAACGGTTTCTGCAATCGTTGACAATAATAGAAAGAGCAGCAGTAGCCAGTAATGCGTATCTCAGAGGTGGAAAGCATACGTTTGTCTCTGTGGGGAAGGGTCGGGCAGCGACCGAACACCTGTCAGTGCCGTGACCTTTAGTGCGGCTAAGTTAAGGCGCGTGAGGTAGAAGGTAGATTGCAAGCAGGCGAGAAGCCGCAATGCCACCTCGTTTAGAATTTTAGACTTTCTGTCTCCGCAACTAAAGTCGACAGCTTGAAAGCTGCCTGTAGCTGTCAGCATCTACAAGGTTTTGAAGCCTTCGGCTGTCCTTTAAGACCATTTCCAAGAAGCCCTGACCCCCAAACAGCCCACCGCATGTTCCAGGACCATGCGGCTACTTTGCCATTATGAACTGCTCATAAATCCTTTGAGGATGCTTCTAGGACCCCAAAATAGAGAGAGAGAGAGCAGTTGAAGTTGAATGTGTCACAGATTTACAAGAACGAGCTTGCACAGCCTGTGCAGACGAGCCTTCTCGAGTTGACTGATGATCCAAAACCCCCAAAGGGTAAATCAAACCGGCATGGGACTGAGCCTCAACCCGAACCCCAAACCCTGAACCCCAAACCCTACAAATAGCTATGCGAGAGGGAAAAACCCTACAACCGCCAAGGCTAAATCAAGCCGGCATGGGACTGAGCCTTGAGATGATCGAGAAGCTACGGGAAGAGCGGAACATGCTCCCCCTTTACCGACGGAAGGCGGGGGTCTGGGATTCAGTCTTGGATATTACGGTTTAATCAACCCCATGGGGCCCCCAATCCCTTTTTTTTTTTTTAGTTCTTGCAGGCCCATACATCAGACCTTTCCAGACGCTACCTTACAGGGCAAGTGCCGAAACCTTGTGCAGACGCATGTGTGGTTTAGAATCCTCGTTGTTCCGGAACTACGGCAGTTGGAACGTCCAGCCAGAGCCCGGCAGCACTAAAATAACACAATAATGCTTCTTGCATTAATCGCAACTTAACAAGAGTATAGTTCCGGTTATATGTTTATACCTATCTACCTATCTATCTATCTATCTATCTATCTTTCTATCTATCTATCTATCTATCTATCTATCTATCTATAGGTATCCATATGTGCTTATATGTGTATCTCTACACAGACACACACACACACATGCATGTGTGTGTGTGTATATATATATATCAATCTCTATACCAATACCTGTATCTATACCTGTGAACCTATACTTACATCTATGTCTATTACTATGCCTGTGTCTGCATCTTTTCTATTTCTATATCGGTATTTTGTATCTATATCTATATCTCCCTCTATAAGTACACATGTGCATGCATACACGATTATGTATACATATATATATATATATATACTGATTTATGAATACATGCAATGATGAAAAGACATGCTGGTCCGTGCAGCTCCGAGCAGGCACAAGACCTTCAGCAGCAGATCGAAGAGCGGGAAAAGGATCAGAAAGCCATGAGCCTCGCCCGCATGCTGATGGGTAGCACCATGTAGGGTTTAGAGGTTATGATTTAGGGTAGAGGATTTAGACTGCATATCCAGGCGTGAGCCCAGTCAGTTTGTTGTTGTACACGCTGCACTGTTCCGAACGGCTCAAGTTAAAGGCAACATTTTACCTGATTTTCTCTTCCATCGTACCGATGGCACCCATGATGTGCTACTCAATTGCTTTGCGCCTTGTTGTCACCGTGGCAGGGAGTGTCACGGTGGAAGACGGGGCTTGTGTATCAGGCCATCGTCTCTTGCAGCGCACGTCCGTTGTGGAATCCTCGCAGGTGATGGGCTGCGGCATGGGCACCGCGGGGACTTGCGAAACCAATACCGACCGAGTGTATCAGCTTGCAAACCTTGTGCCAGGCGACGGCGATGTCTTTTTTGACACATTTGTGAAGGTCTGGATGGATGTGACCCCTTTGCAGGGCTACATCTTCTGCATCGGGGACCGACCGGGATCTTGGATTGTGGGCGACGAGTATGGCACAAGCTCGCAGCTGTACGATTCATACCAAGGCCTCACCTATCTGCGGAACTTGTTCATTTCCCCAGATGATGCCGAGGACTGGGGCACTGTAGGCTATTACACCAGCCTATTTTGTCCAGCGGCCACCACTGCAGATCAGTATACTGAGCTGAAGGTGGCCTTTGCCTTCAACAAGTGTGGCACGACGAAGGTGAACTTTATGCTTTCCATCAGCCCCGACACTTTCGAGTGCTTCGTTGAAAAGTTGGCGCCAGTTCTCAGTCGTGCTGTGGGCTTCTTGCCTGAGTTTACTTTCGGCGTTTCTTTAGATAAGAAGTTCTCGAAGACGGTGCGTCTGGCTCACGGTGATGGAGATGACATCCGGGTCCAGGACATCACCATGGCCGGTCAGCTTGGGCTCAGTGCCACCCTGAGGATCTCCGTCGGCCAGGTCTTGGGCTGTGACGACACGCTGGGCGACATCCTGGCGGGGGATCTCCAGGCCCAGGCACTCCTGGCTTACGATGGGGACCTCGAGACTCCGCTCAAAGCCATCGCTTCGGCCAGTGTCACCGAGACTTTGCCCGATCTCTTGGCTGGTTTTGCCTCTGCCATGCGCGTGGGCCCAGCAATGGCGGCCACGATCCTCCGCCAGGCTGGAGCGAATGGTGATGTGGTCGAGCTCATCGAGGAGATGCAGCGCTCCACCTTCATGTATGTGCTCAACGGCTACGTCACCCTCGAACTGTCAGGACCGACGACTGGCATTTTGCCTGATCTGTCCTTCCAGCTGTTTTCGACTTCCATGATGTTGAGGACTGGCCCTGCGTCCACGAGAACCATCCAAAAAACCGTTTGGGTAAAGGGCGGAAATGGTCAAGTGTGCAATGCTGTGTGTGCAAGCCGCGGCTATGGCGGGTGTGACAAGACCCAGATGGCCGGACTTACGACAAATGAGAAGGTGGCTGAAGCCTTTCTGAGTGCAGGGTACACCTGCCGGAGTTTCCATGCGGCCAGGAACTACGCGGGAACGCCCTTCTCGAAAGCCACGGCATCAGACGATTGTGCCCCCGTCATACCCGGAACAGCTGCGAGCATCATTAACTGTGACACCAACGCGTTTGTACATCATGCACCTCTATGTGCATGCCCTATGGAAGAAGAGCATGTTGACGACAGCCTTGCAACCTCCCACCTTCCCGGGCTCTACTTCTACCTCTCAGCGGACATGGGTGACTTTGTGGAATCCATCGTTGAGAAAACCTTGGGGCAAGTTGGTGGCTTGTTGGATGTTGTGGGTGTTGACGTAGACGCCGGCATTTCACTGTCTGCGCAGATGGGCATCGGCTTCTTCCTGAACACTGCTGCTGTCGGATTCGATGCGGAGGCGATCATTGGAGGATCGGCGACTTCCATCAAGTGCATCTTCAAATTCAGCAATCAAAGGCTCAGGTGCAAAGCACGACTGGGTTGGGCTGAACTCTTCCTCAGTGCTGGCAAGTTTGTGTTGAACAAGATCGATGACTTCGCCGGCAATGGCGCGCAGGAAATTGCGGAGTTTTATTCGGATCAGGTAGGCGGCACAGGCATGAAATTTGCCAAGAGCGTAGTAAACAAAGGCAAGAAGGTCGTGAACAAGGTGAAGTGCAAGCTGAGCAATATGCTCGGAGGCACGTGTGGAAGGTCTGGTGGCACTCCTAGCAGCTGCGGAGATGGCACCGAGTATGTCATCAGGGATGAACAGGATAAGTGCCTGCAAGCATCCCCGGATTGCTACGAGCCAGATGACGATGGTAAGGTGTACTTTTACCGCGGGACTTGCATTCCTGCATTTCGCGACTGCACTCACACATCTAGCAGCTACTCAGAGCAGATGAAGCAGTACTGGTGGTACACCAAAGATCGCAAGCTTTGCAACGAGTTCTTGCACAACATGTACATTGCCGACATTGATGACCCGGACAACAACCCCAAGTGCCTGCAACTGCACGATCAACACATGTACTTCACCACCGAGGAGAGCGAGTCTGCTGCATCCGTCGGCATCTCAAAGACTGACACAGAAAGGTTCAAGATTTTCCTCCACGACGTCACTGGTCCGTACGGGCAGGTCTGCTTTCAAAGCTCTGGCGCAGGCGAGACGCTGGACCAAGGCAGGCGCCGGCTGGCTCAGAAGGTCTTCGTCCGTGGCTACGACGGTGGACGACGGCGGCGACGCTGCTCCAAAGACGGAGCCAAGAAATGGCGCATTTACCAGAAACTCGAGCCAGGCAACGGCGCAAACTACGACAAGGAGAACGGAGATGCGCAATTCAACAATGGGTGCTCCTGAGCTTGCCGTATGGCGGGGTTTCCCGTCCGTCTGCAGTGAGTTGCACGTGCTTGGACGCTTCGTGTGGCAAGCCTGTAGCGAGCTGAAGTGGCTCCGGGCTGCGTCTTACATTCGTCCAAGTGTGAGTGTTGCCTCAGTTTCCGCTGATGCACAAGGCAACAAAAGCCCTCGATCTGCTCATTCTATGTCGTGAAAACCTTAAACTCGAATCTCAGCCTCTGCCGCGTAAACAGACGCCTGTCTAAGCAGCACAGGAAGCGCGATCCCTTCTTCACACGCGTCATCGAGCTGCAGATTGAATATGTGGCTTGCCTGGATGCTGAGTGGCACTGCGACGGCAGATTCACTGACAGTATCAGGGCATGACGAGAACTCAGGTTGAGGGTTTAATGTGGATCGTGCTGGGTGCTGTGTCAGATGACTTTATATAAGGCATTTCAGGACACAGCAAATAGTTCCAATGTATTCGTAATTTCAAGTCCGCTGATTCCGCAAACTTCTCTGCAACACCATTGTTGTTATTTGTTGCTACCATTGTCATTATTCATGCCATCGTTGCTATCATTGCTCGTGCCATTGTCATTGCTCTCATCTTAGTGTTGTTCTCTTTGTTATTGTTGCTATTATCCTTATTGTTACAATCACTACTGTTACTGCTATGGTAAAAAAAACCCTCGAGTCCCTAAACCCTAAGCCCTAAACCCTAAACCCCTTAAACCCGATAACCCCTTAAACCCCTAAAACCTCTAAAACCCTAAAGCCCTAAAACCCTAAACCCCTATAAACCCCTTAAACCCTAAACCCCTAAACCCCTTAAGCCCTAAAGCCCTAAACCCTAAACCGTTACCAACTTCCAAGGTTTCCTGGAAGCAGGAGGCGAGTCGGCTCGAGTCCTTGATGTCGGAGCCCTCTCCCGAGGCCCTGTGCCGAAAGGGTTGAACAAATTTCGGTGCTTTCGGGTTTAGGGGTTCAGGGTGTAGGGTTCAGAGAGTAGGGTTTAGGGTTTCGGGTTTAGTTAGGGTTCAGGGGGAAATTTGTGTTTTTAAAGGTGTGTTTAGGGATGGGGGTTCGTGGTTTAGTGTCCTCAGCCTCCGCCTCTGCAGCCTTTTGACTTTAGAACTCTCTTGAAACTGTAAACCCCCTGCCCCCTATTAGATGTGCTCTCTGAGAGGCCAAAACTAAATGCACCATAAATAAAGACATCGGTGGTACCGGGACACAGAGCAAGGCTTCTCATCGTCATGGTTGTGTCGTGGTTCCGACCTTCTGTCGGAATCCTCTGCCTTGGCATTCGGAACAGAACTTGCTGCCTTGATCCGGCATTCTTCTGACTCTGGAGGGGCTGTAGTTACTATAGTTGGCCACGTTGTCAATGGTGGAGTCGGGCTGTGCAGGCTTCCTCGTTCTTCACTCGTCAGCGTTCAGCGCTGTCGAGGCATTCAACGATCCCAAAGCACTTGACACCGAAGCCGAGTTCCTCATTACCATAGACCTAGTAATAGTATAAGCTGTAAGTCCGTGATTTGTTGATGCCGATGTAATCGCAAGGCTACGCCAAAACACCTGTGACAATGTTTTTCAACACATAGTGAGAGGTCATGGCAATCATAAATTATGACCCATCCTATTAAGGGGACTTATAACTCCACTAACCTCCAAGTATGGTCATCCACTGCGCTCTCCCAGGCGAATCCAGTCGCACGGCAGGAGATTGACGTGCACAGTCGGAGACTGGACCAGCTGAAGGAGGCGGGAGCACGGAACTCGAGAAGCTTTCGTTAAGCTCTATTCTGTTCTATTATACTAGACTATAGTATAGTACATTTGTGCTATGTAGAATAATTAAATAAGTAAATGTAAATTATGATGGACTCCGGTATCTATGAGTGGCTGTAAAAAAATTGCAGGCCTGAGTTCGGTGTTTGGCGTGAACTTCGGTCGCTTGGACGCGTGTCTGTACTTGCTATATTAATATGTTCCAAAAGTTTCCGACGCTCTAACCAGAATCCTACAATGGCGCCCTGCTGTGACGCTACAAACTCACACCCAAATCTGTTGATTCACCAAGCTGATGTGTTGTGTTATTTAGGCTGCTTTTTTTGTTTTCGGGTTTGGGAGCTTCCAGAATGAACCTTTTCTCAGTCCAGTGCTATCTAGGATAGAAGCTCGAGCAGGCACATACATGGAGTTCCGCATGATCCGACATCGCAACAAGATACAGGGCATGCCCAAAGCAGTGCAAACCAGCCGGCGAGCAAGCGAAGTTTTCCACGTACCTCAAGCCGTAGATACACGGGCACATGCAGACCTATCAAAGGGCTCTCAACAAAACAGCCGTGAGCTGTGAATATCCACATAACTACAACCGGAGAATGAATGACAGACTGGCGACAGGATCTGGCCGCGGCGCAGCGCAAGCGCGAGCAGGTGGCTGATGTTAGCGGTGGTCCTCTGGGTCCTTGATGACGAATGATCCTACTATGCAGGTTTGCCCAACTTCGTGTATATTCCTTATGGTATCCCGGGTATACAGTACAGGCAACAAGCTGCAGGTTCGCCGAGATCCAGGAACGCCCTCGATCAGGTCTTTGGGAAGATTGTTGTCGGGTCGCGAATTTAGGTGCTCAAAGCAGCATATTGGTCAGTTTCGGTACGGTATTGATAGGCTCAGTAGCAAGATTGGTGAGTGTAGTTGTAGTTACTAGTTGTTTAATCAATCGAGGGTGCATGCCTTGCTCCTTCTGTTCACATCATGTAGGTGTGACTTCGGTTTTGTCGTTGGCACGGTTACCCGTTTCTGCCTTTCGGAAGAATCCCGACCCAGGTGAAGGAGGAGCTGCAAGACATGCAGGTGACGGGCGGCCAGAGTTGCAGCACTTTCCGGCATTTTGTCTGTTTGGAGAACTGCCAAGGCAGTATTAATTATTTTCCCAGCAGTCCACGGCTCGGGATGACCGGCAGGGTCATTCGTACAAGGCTGCTTCGACGCATCGGGAATCCAGTCCAGATGGTGCCTGCGGTTTGCCGCGGGCGTGTCGGCATGTCTCATGTGCGGTTTGGCTCAAACAAAAGTCACAGGTGCATGCAGCTTGCGGATAATGCCCCGTTTGGTGATAAGCTTCGAGCTTTTACTGCTCCCCGTGTAACTTGAGAAGGTGCGCGGGAACTGGCAGAACAGAAATGCATTGCATGCAGCGAGATCTCTGAAGCCCCTGGAGCTTGCACTGCCGCGCCAACACGGCGTTCTTGCACATCGTGCCCATGGCGCACCCCCTCGGCATGGACTTTCCTACAAGGCCAGCGGTCGTTCTCTTACCCTTCGTGTAGGGAGCACACTACATAACGAAGACTCCGCAGCCTCCACACCTAGCCGCAGGCCTCTTCTGAAGTGGAAATGAGCAAGCTCGACCAGCCAGATCCCACACACATTTATAGTATTTTATAGGAGTTAGTTCATTGCGCTTGCGAAGAGTAGAGCGTCAAGGCGGCAAACCATGAAATTTGACTTCCCTTGAACTTGACACGAAGTCCACTAAGCTTCCCACCAGCCACTTACGATCTTTGTAGCTTCAAGTCGTTCTGAGCCAGCTTAGCCAGGGCCTTTCACCCAACACTGGGTTCTGTTTCAACAAACATCAATGTAAGCTACTGCAACATGGATCTGAACCTAGATAGCATTCTTTCCTTGACATACATACATACATACATACATACATACACTCGCACATATATATATATATATTTATATGGTGATTTGTAAGTCCTACGGTTTCCTTATTATGGTAACTTAACCCTAAGCCCCACAAACTCCGAAACCCTAAACCCGATATTTACCCTAAACCCCTGAAGCTCTAAACCCTAAATATGAAATTCTTTAACAACCCTAAGCCCTGTTCCTCAGTTGCCAAGCAATTGGCCCCTCAGTTTAGGCTTCAAGGGGTTTAGGGTTTAGAGTCAGGGGTTTAGGGGTGTAGTTGGTTTGAGAACAGGAAGGACGACGTGGAGGAGTTTATGGCACGTATTCTTGGCCGCATGCGGATGGGCTTGTTGGTTCAGGCTGCAGGTTTTGTGCCTATAGTACCCAAGGGCCCTATCGGAGATCCGGCGCGCAACCGGTAGGAGAGTGCCATGATTGCTCGAGTTCCAGCTGCGCTAGATTAAAGACCAACCTTCAAGCTCTTGAGCCATCAGCCCAAATCCCAGAATTCAGTGCCTTAGCCCTAGCAGTTCTACAACGGCTCGTAGGTAAATCTTCTGGGTCCGAAAGCGCTTGAGTTAAGCCATGCTCGCAGCAAACTCATACACTCGGAGTGCCTAGACTACAAAGCCTTTCTCGTTCCCGTGAAAACTCCTATTTCTAAACTACCGCAAACAACCAGGCAAGCAGGCAGGCAACCCCCCTCCCCCAGTCCCCGTGCCTGACCCAGAGAGCACACCATTGTGGCTTAAAGATTGGGCGAGAGTTTCAGGCAAAGCTCAAAACCAGAGCCTTCGAGACTAATAAAAACGAAGCCACAGCTCAACACGCAGAGACCCCCGGAATCTCAACAACACAGACCCAAGCATATGGGCTTTTCCAGCTGGCTCTGATATCTAGTTGAAATAGCCCGAGACGCTGAGGTACCTCCGCCATGCTCCACACACATGAGAGACGCTTGGCTTCATCTCTGCAGCAATGCGAACAGCGGACAGGAGCAGTTTAGGGTGCATAAGACGTACACTTCGGCTACACACTACACAACAAGTTCTTGTCTGCGTGCTCCCAACATCGGGGACACCACAGCATATACCACAAAAATATCAGCATCCAAGGCCACATCTTTCAGGGTGTACCTTCGTTTTGCCACTGGTGTTTCGGACACGTTTGTCAAGTTTCCCGGTCGCTAGTGCGCCGCTGGGTGGAAAGAGTCGGGTGAACAGTAAAAAAACAGGAATGCAGTCCGCATTCGACAGATGGACTTGTGTAAGCCAGAGGGAGGAGGGCTCGAAGTTGATGGTTG